GGCTTAAAGTTTATTGATGTATTATGTTGAGATCAGTGATATATTTATTCCATTTTTCAGCAGTCTTATCGTAGTTTCATAACAGGAAAGAAATTTGATCGTGGAGGCGAAAATTAGATAAGGTCATGTCGGGTTGTTTTACTGCATCAAATGGTCCCGAGGTCGATTCCAGAATTCTCCATTTGCGCCATTTGTGTCTGCATGGCGGACTGTACTCGTAAGTTGAGTAAAATGTTGAAAACCAGTTGCTTCTTTATTTCAGATCATGAATACTCATTTACATCGTGTCCGCCAGCTTCTTTAAATGGTAGAATTGGATCGTTCCTGGAATTTGAGTGATTATGGGATAAATGGTTTGGAATTAATCATAGCAGTTAGAATACAGTTAAACATGCAGAGAAGTACTTTTGATTCAGCAACCGGTGAATTTTTTATTCTTTTCGATCTAGTACCAGAATAACTGCGAACCATTCCATTCAATATGTCGAATAAGGCACGCAGGAGGAGATCATTACCATGGAATGAGTCAACTTGATCTGAGATGCAGCTTTCAGCATGTTTTCGTTATATCATAGATATCCAGGTTTATTGGCGCTGTAGAGGCAGTGATTTGGATTATGACGTATTCTACAAAGTCTCCGTGCCCATTTGAAGTATACATGTGCTTTGAAAGGATTACTTTGTTGGCTCCTACCCCCACTGAGTGTTAACAACAGCTGCTGTGGGTTTATGTATTTCCTCGCCTTTTTGGATAAAACATCGCCGCATTCTTTTTGGGTAGGAGACCAGTTGGTGGATTATAAATGATATCCAAGTAACTTTTATCTTTTCATGTGGTGTTGCGGTAAGTTTCTACCTTGTTTTCTCATATTTCATTCGTATGTTGATTATGGTTCGCCCTTTGTATCAGGTAGACATAGTTTGATCGACTCTTGGTTGAATGGGTGTTATTGTCATGACTGCTGCTTTTTTGTCTGGAATTATAAATAGAGACAAAACAAACAACAGGTGTAGTCTCTGAGTTCATACATTAAATGGGCCTATGATTTCTGAAACTCTTACATGGGAATTACCATTGGTATCAATTACAAACTCACTTAGTGTGTCATTAAGTGCCTTTTCAAAGGAGGCCAATGTGCTTGCTAGTCGTATTTTCTCAGGTAGTTTGTTCCATATTTGGGCATACCTAATCAAGAAAAACTTTTGCCTGGTGGCTGTTTTACATGGTTCTATAGCCACTGTACCTTTAGTGTGCCTAAGGTTGTATCCTGTGTTACCTGAGGACCGAGTATAGTTAGCAGGGGTATACACTATTTGGTTAAGAAGCTTATAGAAGAGTAACAGATTTAGTCGCAGTCGCCTTAACCATAATGTTTCTAGTCCCAGGATTTCACATCTGGTAGAGTAGTTTGTGCCGTTATCGGTTCCGAGTACTTTTCGCGTGAAGTACCTCTGTACTCCTTCTACTTTCAGTTTGTCTTCTATGCGTGTACTGCTGAATATGAATGAGCAGTAATCTAGGAGTGGGCGCACACATACCTTGTACAGTAGTATTCTGGACTCGTTTCTGTAGAAGTTCCTGAGTAGGAAACCAATAAGCCTTCGTGATTTCGACACTTGATTCGAGATATGCTCTGAAAATGATAGATTGTGTGAATATTTCAGTCCTAGGTCTAGTACAGATTTGAGTCTGGGGATTTTGTGGCCCTGAATTGCTAGGTTGAGGTCAAGGTTGGAACAGCCTATGCAGAGCCATCCACACTTTTCAACATTAAACTCAAGTCTCCACGTGTCACACCAATACGACAGTCATCGTCTCATCGGTCGCTGTTCAGAAAGAAGTCAGCAGAAAACCGTCAGAAGTAATGTTGTGATTTATTATTGTAATATTTGTTCACAGACCTTAGTGGAATTATTATTTTTATATGTTGGTGTTACAATAAAGAATTCTCGAGCAGCCAATCGGTGTTTTGGTTTTCGCGTCCGTTACTATTAAGCGTTTCTGAAAACTTCAAGGAACAGCGTGAGCCCGAGCGTAGCAAGAGCTGGGCATTAACGGTTTACGAGACGTGGCTGACAGCATCCGTATACCCTCTTGATGTTGTTAATGGTCCCACAATATCGACATGAAGGTGCTGAAATCTTTTAACGGGTTAATCAATTTTCTTCGGAGTTGTAACAGTGCGCCTATTTATTTGTGAGCATTGACACTGGAGACATTTCCGTGACCATTTTCGAGTTCATTCTAGGCCACAGTATACGTCCGCTGATAAGCCTAACAATAGAACGTACATCAGGATGGGAGAGCGAATGTAAGTATTTCAATAAGGCTTGTCGACAAAGTCGGGGTACAAAAGGGCGATGAACGCCTTTTGAAACATCATAAACGATGGTTCTATCCGACGGAGGCGTAGGCATGTCTTGCAACTGTAAGGAAGACTTTTCTCCCCAGGTGCGAATTTCGGTATCGCTGTTTCGTAATTGAACAATGCTACTCAAACTAATGTCTATCGAAGATAGCTGATTTATATAACATTGAGGAAAAGAGTCCGCTACGGCGTTCGAGTCTCCTTTGGGACATTGAATATTAGCTGAAAACTAGGAAATGTAATCCAGCTGTCAATGTAGTTGAAGGTTGAACGATCAATTCATGGTTGTTCGCTCAAACCCAACTTCCCCATATTTTTCGTGGGTCATCAATCTGGCAGTCATAGTCTCATCGTTCGCTGTTCGTTAGAAGAGGGAAAACTATCAGAAGTATTATCATGATTTATTGTTATAACATTTATTCTTAGACTTTGTGTAATAACATTATGGTTGGTTATGTTAGCGTAAGAATAAAGGATTCCCGAGTCGCCAATCAGTGTTTTGGTTTTCGCGTTGGTTAATACAAAGCGTTTCTGAAAATCTTCGAGGGACAGCGTGAGGTCCAGCATAGCAAGAACTGGACATTGACACCAGATGCCTAGATTCTCCCGGAGAGAGTTTATCCGGTGAAGTGGTAAAGGTGCAGCAAAGGGGTTTATGGTCGGCAAAGATGGTGAGATATCTACCATGTAACAAGAAAGAAAAATGCTTCATTGCCAGATAGATAGCTAACATTACTCTACCCAAAGCGCCGTAAGAAGTTTAGGCAGGTTCTAACTTATTGAAAAAGAAAGTGAGTGGAATGACGTAGATGCTTAATTTCTGCTGTAAGACTGCTCCTGCCGCCAACTCCGATGCATCTGTACGTAGGGTGAGAGATTCTTTGAGGTTGATGTGGGACAACACGACGACTTTCGACAATGGTTCTTTGGTGTTACAGAAAGATTCGTGTGCCCGTGATGACCACTGGAACTTTTTGGAATCACTTCTAAGGAGATCAGTAAAAAGTTGCAAGATGAGGGCACATGAAGGGATAAAACTCCGACAGAAGTTAAACATCCCCCAAAAAAATGTCGAACTTTTTTCAGTGAGTCCTGTTCGAGGAAGTATCTGATAGTTTCTATTCTTTCCTCCATAGGCCAGATACCGTCTGCGGTTGTGTAATGCCCCAGGGACTGTGTAGAAGGGGCACTCAAAATGCGCTTTTGGGATTTTTATCAACGCCATGTTGCTCGGAATATTGGAACAAAATGATGACGTATTCCATATATTCCTCTACCGACGTGCTGGCAGTTAAAACATAACATATATATAAACAAACACAAAACCAGGACCTTGAGTGACTTGATCCATGAAAGTACTGTGCAGCGGTTTACAGACTGAACAACATTCGTAAAAATTCAAACGAGCCAAAAGGTGCTAAGATGGCTGCCTTCTCAATGTCCTCTGGGAGCGACTGGTATCTGGTGATAAGCTCTGTCTAAATCCAATCTGCAGGAAACACTTTTACCATGTTATGGCAGAGAAAATTAATGCAAATGGGGAATGGGATAACGATCTGGGACAGTGACAGGATTCAAATGTCAGTAATTCCCACATGGTCATCTGTCACGCCCAGCCTTTGCTACCATGTGTAGGGGTCAGGATAAATAACTATTGGAGTGTCGGATAGTGCTCTATGACATCATGTGTTTGAATTCGGCTTTGGCTGCTGCTAAGTTATTAGGTGGTAGTCGACGAGGGCGTACGCGGACGAGTTGACTAGTTGTGGTGATTTCATGTGTGACAGAGTGAGGAACTTCTTCGATATTATAAGACGACTTCAGATTTTTAGGGGAACCTTGCAGTAATGCAGAAAATGTACAAACACCAGGCTTTTCGACGCAAATGTTACAGTCGGATTAATCTGGGATGATACCATGGATTTTAAGCCGGGTGCAATTGTCAATCAGTTTTTTCTTGTTGACATCAACTAGCAGATTACTTAAAAATCAGCACCGAGTTTGACATGACGAACGCCAGCTACCATGAAAATCCATGTAAAACGACGGCGTAAACCCAGATCTAATACATTTTACAATGAATCTTCTCAAACAAAAGTTATGTACGATGTTTACGTTTGTAACATCTAACAAAAACTGTACAGTCGTGTTGCTGCATATCCCACTAAGATGTAAAACTTTTAATAAATGGGGACTGTTCAGACGAGTCGAGTGAACCTATCCTGGGAATGCGTGAACAATAAATAAAGATTAGACTGTCTATAAGAGTACATGGGCAACATACTAGTTCACGCTCAGTTTCTAGAACTGACTTAATATATCTCCAACAGATTCACGGCCTCCAATTCACAACAGTTTGAACAGTCGCAACTGCAGTCACACAGCGTTTGTGGTTGAAAGTGCATTCACGGGTTAGATGCCTTTTTCATTGGTGAGAATTACCTGATTAATCCATGACTTTTTCTTTGTGTATAGTGTTGAGGTGCCCGTTTCTGCTATCTTTGCACCAAAAAGTGCACCGCAGTAAGAAGGAGAGAGCCTCCCAAACACTCCAAGTTCACTGCCATTAATAAGTGAACAAAAGACAGGCCGATATTCATTTGTCTCAGAAATGCAAGCGCTCAGCTGAAAATTTAGGCAAAATTTTTAAGGGGATAATGCTATAAAAGGCACTGCATCTGTTAAATATCTGCTGTTGTTGTATACTTCTAGGGGAGTAAGAAGCATTTCAGTCATGCACATTGTTTGGAGTAACGCAACATTGCTAAATGAGGTTAAATATTTCAAATTTATCTTTTAAGGAGTTGATAAATAATAATAAGAATAAATAAAAGGTCTCAGTTGGTGAAATGCAGCATGTCAACCCACCATTATGTGCTTTGTTTGATCAAACTATTGTTTCAATTTGGAGGAAAGCGAAAGCGTTAAAGTTCAGGATAGGCTAGATAGGGTTTCGTATGAGCGATATTGGTGAGTCTTACTCCCTTTCTTTGTATTTTTGAGTGTTTTCACATTGAAATATACTAAGGCTAGTATTTCCCCATTTATGTTTAGGCAAGATTACTGAATGTGTCACTTATGTTACTCAATGCACCCTTTTCGCGAACTTCCATCTGTAACACAAAACGGCTACGCAAATCATATACTTCAAAGCTCAATTGCTGAATCACCTCTTAATTCTCATTTCGGAAAGTATAGCTACAGAACTGGTATGACAGTAACAACAGACGGTTACGTTCCTCAAACTACGTACCACAATCATGGACATACTAACCACCATAATCACGTCCATCATGGCGTTCTGCATCATGTTCATTCGGATCTTAATAATCTTATTCCGTCCAGCATTGCACAAGAAAGTGCTCAAGTTCGTGTTTGGGATGTTTGGGCCCACAACTTTCATGAGGGCATGCGTCTTGTCCGGAGACTTGTGCGGGAAAGTCGTTATGTCGCTGTAGATACTGAGTTCCCAGGTGTTGTTGCAAAAGTATTTGGTGAGTATGCCAATAGTTTCGAACAAGCCTACCACAATATAAAAGTTAACATCGATATGCTGAAGCCAATTCAAATAGGATTTAGTTTTTTCGATGAAAGTGGCCAGACGATAGATTCCGTCTCGACTGTCCAGTTTAATATTAAATGGAATCTTGACAATGAAATGCATGCTGCTGACTCTATTCAATTGTTAGAAGTTTCTGGAATAGATTTTGAGAAGTTGAAGAGAACAGGAATTGAACTTAGCGATTTTGCAGAGGCTTTTCTTACCAGTGGTCTCCCACTTAATGACAAGATAACATGGATTGGATTTCACAGGTAGGTTTGTTTTACGTGTAATATAGACGTATTAAGTGCGTACGATTTTGCTTACATGATGAAGATATGCACAGATTGGATGAGGATGCCCGACAATTTTCTGGAATTCCAAAAGCTTTTGTTGATTTTCTTTCCAAGAATTGTTGATTTAAAGTCTATGATGAGCGAACATAAATTCCCTAAGAGTGGATTACAGGAACTAGCGGATTTAATGCGTGTACCACGTATAGGCTTACAACACCAAGCCGGAAGTGATGCAATGCTAACAGGCGAAACATTCTTTAGATTCTTAGAGGTAATTTCTTTTTACATTTTTACTAACTTGCTTAAGGAGCATGGTGGTGGTAAAATTGATCAAAGGGTTTTGAATCTTGTGTACGGATTAAACTATTGCCCAAATGGTGTTTCTAACACTTGGATGCAAATGAACGGCTCCAGTCCTCAACCTGAAAACGACTCTTCTACAAATCACATTTCATCGTCTATTTATCGTAACAATGTTCATAGCGCCGATCATTCTGGTCGTACTTCACCTGCTGACTCTACAAGTGGCCATAAGAGTAGTTAGAATGTCCGTAGCAAAAACAGGGTGTCATATTTCTCTTTTTTTATAACTTCAGGCAAGTGGATGATGCCCTTATTCCAATCCAAGACTTACTGGTTAGCATTTGTTTTCTGCATTTTGTAACCTAGATCTCTCTTAATATTATAATATAGCACCCAGCCTTAACTCTTTCAATGTAAATCACGGCTCATCTGTGGCAGCTAACCTTAAAATTGGCTGCTTATCTTTTGCTTAGTAGTCTACTTCAACATCCCATTCGGTCTTGTGTTTATATGTTTCTGTTACATAATATGATGCTTTAATTTTGCTTTGTTTGCTGGTACTCCCGGTATGCTCAAACTGGTCAGAACTTTGCTGAAGCATTTTCTTACGGCGTACCCATGGGCAGCTAAATGTGGCTTATAGTTACCAATTTTCCCATTGTGCATTGTATGTCTTCAGTCTGTCATCTTGTCATGCACCACCTGGTCATAATTTTGCTTTCATTATTCGTGGTTTTGTTAGTCCTTTTAATTCCGTTTCCCGACGCTCCAGGTATCTGTGATAAACTTTTCAATGTTATCTCCTACTTTTATTGACCTGTTTCCTTATCGGATGCCCAGTCGGGGGCAGCAAAATGTTCTTTCATCCTTTTGTGAGGTATATTTGTATAATATTCCTGTGTGATGATTGTACAGAGATAACTTTGGGATAATATAATATGTTGTTGGAAACTAACTGATGTGTAAATGCAGCTAATTAAAGTATCAAAGTCGTTGTTATACATAATATAATACATATATATTTCGCATGAAATTATTTATGCTGTCTCACTCTATTCCTGCGACTGTTGTGTTTTGAGCAAATTATGAAGTTAATTTATTTCAAAAACAAATCTCAAGTACATATGTCTTGTAAATGTGATGATGCTTAAAACAATTTTACACTACAACCGGTGTTGTGTATACCTACTTAGTTCATCTCTATCTCAACGCTCGAATGTCAATCTCACTCATTTCAATTTGAAGTAAAAATTTATCAATCCTTAGACATTACCTCTGTTGTATAACTAACCAACTAACTTTGTGGAGCTATGTTTTTTTCTCAGTGTGGATTAGCGTACTTTGTTCATATAATAATAATAGTTTTATTTCATGTGTACTAATCCATGTAAATACATAAATGTTAAATTCTGAAGAGAATTTTTAATTTTGTTAGAAAAATGTAAAGTATTGTATTAGAGAAAAAAAACAGGTCAAAAAAACTAAGATCTCTGTAATCATGGAACCGTGTCCATATCAGTCCGTCTGCGTCGTGACAACTGTTCGTTTATAAACACTCTTGCAGAATAAGCTGATGGAGATCGCAAATCACTTGCATAATGCGGTAGTCTCCAAGGATTTTGATTTTCAGATGTCTGATTTCTTCCCCGTAGTTCATTATATATAATCTTACAGAAAAACATGTGAAAAACAGCGATCAGTAGAACCAAGCTGATCCAAAATAGCCATGGAAGACCACCAAACGCATGTCCGTGCCTGTGCATAGTAATGATATCATGTCTGGGTGCAGGACCATTGCGTATTTCGTCAAAATGAATTGTTTGACTGTACATTGTTAGGTCTTTGAGATCAGTGCCAAGGTACATTAATGCAGTAGGCGGTACACTGACGGTAAATGGTACAACTTGTTTGGTTGATCTGTAAAGAAAAAAAGATATTTTATGTCAAGAAATTGGAACAGAAACACTGTTATACTTGTAAAAAATGCTAGTATATTGGTATCATTTATGCACTAATTTGGCTGCCGGGTTTGTGATATTATCTAAGGCTAGGAGTTGAGATTTAAAAGGAATTATTTCACATAGCCGATGTACTGTAGCTTGACAATGAAGCAACAGCAATATAGGTAGATACACCAGTAAGGTGACATGGTAAAACGGAGAAATGCCGATAATAGCGATGAAGTGTAAATTCAGAACTCGGTGTTATGTACAGCACGATAATGTGTAGTAGGCTGCCAACCAACAACTAACTCCCCTTGTTTAGGATGTATGATCATAAACCCAGTAATACTCGACCTGCATAGTATCACTATTTTAAATGTATCTAGAGGGATTAATGACAACTTCGAAGAGTTCTTGAAGGTACCATGCACAAATGTGGAGAATGAATTTTAGAAGATGGAAGTAAGGGCGCCCAGCCTGGCATCTCAAAACGTTATATAGAGTCGTTTTTTTGCATTTCAGTGAAGAAGAGAAAGTTACTTATTGTAAGATTAAAGTTTTTTTAGGCATATCTGCTTCATGAAAGGCTTTCCATTCACCTTTACAAACTACTCGTAAAGCCTGTTCACACTGCTCTTCTCCCAGTTCATCCGTTACTAGTGAATTGTCAGTGATCCTTGTAAGTGTTCACTGAATATGTAATCAAAATTTATCATTGTTGTATAACGGTTAACAATTGTCGACACATTGACTACAGTGTGAATAAAACAAACGGCAATTTTTTAAAAAGATGAAAACTTCATACAGGCACCGGATGATAGAGTGAAGTATGTCATGAAGAGCGGAAGCAATTTTTATGTAGGTTCATAACCGACGCAGTTAGCGTAGATTCAGATGAGATATTAAGTGGCTCTTGAAGTTTGTTAAACACCAGGCGCATATATCTCTGAGGTAAGTGATTGAAACACTTGGAAATAACTGAAATGTCCTCTAATTACATTTTATTTAACAAGTTTATTGACTAAGTCCGTCTGTCTGTCTGTTTTCGGCATAGAACTTTGCACCGATGTGCACCAGTTCAAGTAGCCACACTCGCTCATTGTAGCACACAAAGCAAGTGAAGAAATGCATCATAGAGACAGTAAACAGAGATGTAATAAGACAAAGGAATAGTAATAACGAAGAACAATATAGTTTCATTGGAAATCATAAGTCACAAGGAGTGGATGCATCTCCGCCATCCATTGACATCGACGATTTTGAGCCATATCACCAATTGTTTCCAGCCTTCATTGGTTTTTACCATCCCGAGGACCCCAACCAGTCAGGAAGTCTACACCTTCCTACGTGACTGGCTTAAACTAACTGTTGTGGATTTCACTGACTGGTGACATGTTTTGGTTTGACAACCACTGACTAGCTCTTTTACAGTCTGACCCCTATGTCAGCTAACTAGGGTAGTAGTCGTCTTCGAAGTTCAGACTGCAGGCCGTTTTTTGGAGTGGCAGAATGATATATACCACAACTCTTGCAGGCAAATTAGAGGTAATATTTAAAAATGACTGATATATACTATCATCTGTGGGTCAACAGGCAGCTCCTGGATCGTTATCCCAGTCTTCAAGGAAACATTGCCGTTCAGTTGTTGTATACAACTGTAAAAAGCAATGATGAATGGTATGGTATTCTGTAATATTTACGGACTGTGAAATAAATAAAAAAACAAACAAACATTGGAAGTATTTTAAGCTATCATATTTGAACATCACTATTTGGGTGTGTACAGCATAACGAACAAATAATCTACCGAATCAATAAAGTCTGCACATACGTACACATATATACATACGTGCAGGATACACCTTTTCTTTTTTTGTCGTTATTAGGTTGAATATTTTATAGATTTTTATACTATTTTAATATTTCATTTAAGTTATTATTTATTGTCTTTGATAAAAAAACAACAACAAAGTAAATCAACAATAGTGGTGTTACAGTTTCATTATATTGTCAACTCTGTTCACACTCTAGAGTCAGGTTGTTAGGGTGTTGTGTGAATGGTAGTAAACAACCAGTTGAAGAGACCAGGATAGGATGGATTTCCAGATGTCAATTACTTGGCATAGATCTCTCATGTACCAGGTTATGAGCCGTACTTACTATTATTATTATTATTATTATTATGTGACGAGGTTTCATGAGGTGCTATCTAGTCAGTTCCACAGGTTGAATTAAATGGGACGGGACTCGAACAGCCTTAATCCGAAGGGGGTACATGTCTATCCTAATATGTAATTCAGCATGCTGCGCCATTGTGTATAATGCTGGTAATAACTAGAATATCCTAGGTGTGATGTTTTATCACAAGACTGCTTACCAAATGATTAGATGGAGTGTGACTGGAGACAAATCTATTATAGTAACTGACGCCTAACCTTCGCAAATCTGAGACACCTGAACGCTACACTACATTCATTTATAGTTCTCTCTTAATACGCTTTCTAAATTTGTCCCAACTTCTATGATTATCATCTTTTGCATTTCCCACTAGTGAGTGGAACAGCATACAATTTGTGTTGGACTTATTTGTTACCCGAGGACAGATTGGGGGCTAAGAGGTCATATTTATTGTGTAAGCGTTGGTGATATTGCCAATTGAATTCCACAGACTCGAGCCTGGGATACACATATTGGCTAAAAGCCAAGAGTGCCATATTATTTCTGTGTAAGGTTCTATGTGTTGTCACGATTCTTAGTTATACTCTAGTACAGTAAAACACGATAAAACCAGATGAGTAAAGTTACCTAGCTTCTTCTAAGGACATAATAATGATAAGTAATAAATATATATACAATCAAATACTTAAATAAAATATAATTTACACAATGATTACTGTTTGTTATACGCATTTCTATATATATATATATATATATATATATATATATATATATATATATATATATATATTTGATTTTTATTAGTCGTATGTATTTGTAGTTGTGTCGTGTGTGTGTATGTGCGTACGTTAAGCAGAATGTGAATTTTACTGAGTTAAATATGATCTTGAATTTATCGATTTTTGTTTTTATTACAACATAAATATCGACTGAGAAAGACTGCGCTACGCTACGGTTCATAGCTGGCACTCTACAGATCTGACTACCTTCCCTTCTCCTTACGAGTTATAGTTGATTGGTTTTAGCTATTCAAATTCTCACTGAAATGTATGTCTACAAGTTCGAATACCATTTCACCTGATACTACTGAGGAGGAGGTCTGGCCAATTGATATAAGTATAAAACTTGAGCACTGGGGTGGTAGAGCATAACTCCATTATGGATAGATAAAATTTTATTTTGATAAAGTGTCACACAGTGGAGTGTTATACAGTAATACTAACTGATGACCACACGTTTCTAGCACAAATTATTACTGCTCATAATCACATCAAGTCACTCAGTCACACAAATTTCTCCCTTCATTTATATACATGTGTGGAATCGATTAGATATTGGAATAAAAATCAATATGTGATAATGTACATTCAGAAATAATA